ATGTTATGATAAAATTTGGAGGTGCACCTTCTTAATTGGATTGTTTAAGGTTGCAACCTTATAGAAACCACACCCTTTATGTAATGGATTAATTCAATATCTTTCTTTGTTTGATTTTTGTTTATGTTGATGTTTTGTCTTCATTCTCCTTATCCTAAAATTTTTTTTTTCTCAAATGAGATGTGTGCAGAAATGTATATGAAGATACATGCGCACATGTTTGTGGCTTTGTATACATATCAATGTTTTAAAAACTGGAGCAGCATGTCTAGTAACTCTAGTTCAACCTTTGGAACTGGGAACAAGATAGATTATGGCCCGGGTTATAAATATAGAAACCCCACTATTAATAAAATCAGGGATGAACAAACAACCTTCCTTAGTTATTCTTCCAGTCTTCCCTGAAAGTAGACCTTGTTAGAGCATAGTGTTCACTCTAAAATATTGCAAGCATTGCTTTAATAGCATTTGGTATAAAATACGGTCAAGAAGATATTTACCTTAATCCCTCACAAGAATCTATCTACACAAACAAACTGCATCAAGTTCTCTAAGAAAAATCTCTCTGAGAAATATTAACTCTCTCTCTCCCTCCCTCCCTCCCTCCCTCTAAGAAAATAATTGGATCAAGTTCTCTAAGAAATATGTCTCTAAGAAAAATACAAACTCCCTTCCCCCCTCCCCTTATACACACACACACACGAGAGAGATGGATTCTTCTTTTTTTTATTGCTTTCCATATTTCTGATTTATTTTCCTAATTTTTTCTTTTTTTCTGGCAGCTGATTCTATCCAGTTAACCACAGTCTGACCAAACTCGATTGAATCGGCCCCCCCCTTGGCTTGATGACCAGTCTGATTTTTAATACATTGATGTGCTATGGATATGGATATGCATACGACTCAGGTATTTCCCCCAACCAAGAAGCCTTGGTCAAAGATCAGCAAATCCATGATGAAGTGTTGATCACTCAAGAACGTATACATTTAGCACCGGTCCAAGTCCCAGGAGTAGCGTTGAACTGGATTGAAAGAAAGCTTATGACAACATCAATTGGTCAACAAGGTTCTCCAACTAATGGGGTTTCAGGAACAAGTGGAGAACTTGGATCTATGCTGCATCTCACTCTCCTTCTTTTCTATCTTGATTAAAGGCAGCCCCCAAGGATGCCTCCCCACCTTGATAAAACTTCTTCACTAAGAAGATCCACTCTCACCTTTCCTCTTCGCCATTATGGCAGAGATTTTCAGCAGATCCATCTCCAAAATGTATGACCAAAACTGCCTCCTGGGGCTCAAATCTTCAAGTCGAGGCTCCTCATATCTCACCTACAATCTGGTGACAATAAGTTAGTAATTTGCAACATGATCCCTTGGTAGGCAGGCACTCTATTGTTATTTACTCGCATCTTTGATCTCTCTAAGGGCACTCATGGGTATCAGGGTTGACGGGCCATCGTCTCAAATCTAGCTAAGAGGATTGGGCGTTGAGTTGAAAGAAATTCCCACAAGTACCTTGGTTTGCCTTTGTGCATTGGAAAGAGCATTTTCTATCTGTGGTAGGGAAATTAACGCTAATCAAGGCTACTTTATCCAGCATAACAATGTCTAGTCTTTGCCTCTTGGAATGCCCGAGGGACTTTCTATGGTCCAGGCTGGAAGGAAAAACCAATAACCTGGTTAATTAGGCCATGGTTTAGGAAGTAGTTAGCTCCCTCCCACCAACACCACCCACCCCCCCATAATGGTCTTTATATAACTGTACAGGTATTTACAAAAATTCTTACAAGCACTGAGTGAAGGCGACCCATGGGCCGGGTGCTCCATTACAAAAAGAATGATATAAACAAAACAAAATAATAATGAAAAAAGAACATTGATGAGGCCCCCAAAAAAGAATGGTATTAGGGGAAAGGGAAGAAAGAAGGGAGGAGAGGGGGGGAGTGAGAGAGAGAAAGATGGAGGGCTGGCAACCCACATGTTGGGTGCTCCCAAAAAGTGGCAGCCCACAGCCCAGGGGCTCAGAAGAAAAGAGGGCAGAGGGGTAACCCATATGACGGGTGCTCAGAGAGATAGAACGGGGCGAGGCGCAACCCACAAGTCGGGTGCTCAAAAAAAACACTCGACCCAAGGCAGAGGGCAAAGAGAGAAGAAGACAGAAATCCAAGAAAGAGATGACAAAGGACTGGGCCAACCCACAAAGTCGGGTGCTCCAAAAAACAGCCAGCAAGAAGAGAGGGAGAGCACAAGAGCAAAGGAAAAGCGGGAGAGAAAAGAGGCGAAAAGAGAGAGAAAAGGAGGGCGGAGGAAGAGGGAGAGAGGAGAAGATAAAGAAGAAGGAAGAAGGGGGTAGGGGAAGAATGATGGAGATGGAGAGACCAAAAGAAAGGGAAGAAGATAAAATAAAAGAAGACGGAAACATCATCAGATCATTTTCCTAACTATTTGGAGTCGGCTACACGAAACCTGGTCCACCATTCTGCTCTATTAAGGATCACACACTTAATGAGACCATAAATCTCTATATCTTTTCTCACTACTTCCAACTATGTCATCTTGGGCCTACTAATAGAAGCAAAATTCAAAAACTGTAATTTTTGCAGAATGGTCAAAAGTGCTTCGGTTCAAGGGAAGCTATCCACTTACGCATAATGGTCAATGTTATGAACTTGATATACAGACTCTTTCCTCTTCAGATTCATCCGCTCCACATAAACCACCCATACGGGATGCCCTTGATGTATCTGGTCCCTCAAGTCCTGTTTTTCCCATCAACAATGATAGCTCTCCAACTTCTCTTATTGAGGAAGATGTCACCATTGCAACAGCAATCCAAGATGTCTAGGATGATACAACACACAGTCATGGTGATGAAAATGTTGCCACCCAAAAAACCAACCAATCTAATTTTTTACCAGCCTCTGAGCATCATCGTCATCACATGGTCACAAGATCTCAAGATGGTACTCGAAGACCTTGGATTCTCCAATCCATGACAACAATCTCAAGTGCTCCTATTTTTTAAGCTATCCCTTCTGAACCTAAATCCATTTACTCTGCTTTGGGTCATCCGGGTTGGTATCGTGCGATGGAAGAGGAAATCGAAGCCCTACATGTTAATTCAACCTGGGAGCTGGTTCCATGTCTTCCAGGTATGAATATTGTCGGTTGTCATTGGGTCTATATAACTAATTAAAGTTTGATGGCAGTTAAAGATACTTAAGGCCAGACTAGTTGCTAAAGGATATAATCAGGTTGCTGGAATTGATTTCTCTAAAATATTCAATCTTGTTATTAAGCCTACTAGTATTCGGATTGTGCTCACCATAGCTATTGTGCTCCATTGGCCTATCAAACAACTTGATATGAAAAATGCTTTCCTACATGACTTTATTAAAGAAGCTGTATTTATAGAACAAACTCCTCGATTTGTGAGCTCAAACTATC